CTGCACTGGCTACACCTCAGGACTGGTCATTTTCAGGTCATGGAGTTTAACCTCCAAAGCCAGTATTTCCTTTCCTAAAGAATGTGTTATTTTAGATAAAGTGATCAGGGGAGGCCTCTCTGAGGAGGTGATACTTAAGCTGCAATCTGCTTTAAAGAGGCTAAACTTACAACCCTCCTCACCCTTATTACCACTCAGGGTGGCCACCAACACTCCCATTGAGTCTGCTCTACCTTTCCTCTCTTTTCCATCACACTTACCACTTTTGGCATAATCTGCAGTTTCTTTATGTATGATGTGTACTGTTCATCACCTGTCTCCCTCCACTAACTGGAGACTCCCTGAAGGCAAGCCTTTCTAGCTGTTAAATGTCAGCATGATTGACATTTTAGGCTGGATAAATCTCTGTTGTGCATTAAAAGACTTTAGCAGCATCCTACTCGATGCCAAGGTGCGACAACCCAGAAAACATTTCCTGGGGGGAGACATCACCCTGCCTGAGAAACCCGAAGCTAGAGTCTGAAACATACAAGGATCACAATAAATATGTGTTGAATAAATTAACAAAGGGTGAATGAATGCATGATCTTAAAAATAGGCTTTTATATGTGGCAGCATGATCTAGAGAAAAGAACCACATGAAGAGTTCTGAGTTCTAGTCTCAATTCTGTTTATAATTAGCAACATGACCACAATTTCTCTGGGCTACAGTTTCCTTCTGGTGGCATTTGGTTATTCTATAAACACTTTTTGAAATCCTATTATACACCAAGCTCTGGATGCTGAGGAGATATAATAAGCAAGGCAACAAAGTCCCTGATACTATGGAACATATATGGTACAGGTAATAACAACAAGAAAATATAATAAATACACAGGGTAATCCCTGGTAGAAAATATGCTGCATATAGTTAATCAATTAGGCAATGTGTCAAATATTGAACAGGGAATGTGTTATTTTAGATAAAGTGATCAGGGGAGGCCTCTCTGAGGAGGTGATATTTAAGCTGCAATCTGCTTTAAGCAGCTCTTTGTCCAGAAATCAAAAGTCAGTAATGCAAATGTATAGGGAAAGAGTGTCCCCAGCAAAGGAAATAGCAAATACAAAGGCCTGGAAAGCAAGAGTGGTTTTATATTTCCAAGGGCCACGGGAAGTCATTGGAAGGCTTTAGGCATGTCCTGATTTGACTTTCAAAAGATTATGCTACTATTATGTGAAGAACAGACTGATAATAGGAAGGCAAGAATAGAAACAGAGACCAGTTAGAAAGTGAGAACAGCCAAGAGGCAAGGACAGTGAATGGTTTGGAATACAAATTGGGCCAGGGAGTGGCAGAAGACTGGGAAAAGTCAGTATTACAGAGGCCAAATGACGAGAACCAAGGTAAGACATGTGAACAGATATTAAGGCATGGAAATAGAGCCCTCAAGTCTCTCCTCAAAAAACTTTGTACATTCATGGGCACAAGGAAAATGATTATACAGTTAGTCATAGAACAAAAGGCCTAGAAGAGGCCTGGAAATTCAGTTCTACTATTTTCGTGGGTGACACAAAAAGTTATTCTCTTGGCTACTAACCAGAAGGTTGGTTTTTCAAATCCATTCAGAGATACCTTAGAGGAAAGCCTCGCTTGCAACTTTCAAAGAGTCACTGCCATTGAAAACCCTATGGAGCTTGGTCATTCTCTGAATACATGAGGTGGACATGAGTTGAGAAACTGACTAGGCAGCAAATCATTTTGGTTTTATGTTTTTTACTTTCCTAAAAGAAAAACTAAAGTGTAGGAGAAGAAGAAGCAATTTATCTAAGACAAGCCTAGTCATTGAAGGAGGCCTGGTGGCTCTGTAACACAAACACTGGACTGCTAACCACAAGGTCAGTGGTTCAAACCTACCAGCAACTCCATGGGAGAAAGATGAGACTTTCTGCTCTAGTAAAGATTTATAGTCTCAGAAACACAATTTTACTAGGAAGTGCCATGGACTGCCAAAAGAACCAATAGATCTGTTTTGGAAGAAGTGCAACCAGAGTGCTCCTTGGAGGCCAAGATGGATAGGCTTCGTCTCTCATACTTTGGACACATTGTCCGGAGAGAACAGTAGCTGGAGAAGGATGTCATGCTGGGTAAGGTGGAGGGTCAG